AGCCCCTGAGCTCAGTCAATGCCACCATTGGGCGGTTCTGCACCAGCACCTGGGAGAAGGTGAGGTCCTGCCCAGTGAATGTCAGTCCCTGCCCTTGCTGTGCCTGGGCAGCCTGGGGCTCATCCACAGCCCATTGTCTGGAGAGAGCAGGGGGGAGCACAACGGTCCCTGGGCCGGGAGGGGGATGGGGGAGCAGCCTCCCAGCTCCCCAGGCCCCAGCACGCCAGGTCTTTGCTCCCAGCTGCACCGTGGGGCTTTCCCATAGTGTGGGTGCTCCAAGCACTTCTCCCACTCTTCTGCCTCTGCAGGTGCTGCAAGAGTTCCCCACCATGAGCAGGACGCAGGTCCGTGATGCTTGTGCAGCCAGCACCTACACCCTCGCCCTGCTCCTGCAAGGCTTCAGATTCAACCACACAACGTGGCTCAACATCCACTTTGCCCGGCAGGTAGGGACATGTCTGGCAGCTCCCAGCTCCCACCCTGTGTGCCATGAAACAGCTCCTGCCCACCCCGCTGCTGCCCTTGCAGCAGGACAGGAGCAGGGGGTGACAGGGCAGCACAGCCCATTGCCCGTGCCCAGGGCTGGCTTTCTCGGCTACCTTTGCCTTGGCTATTCTATCTCTGCAGCCTGTCCCATCCCTCTTCCTTCTGTCTGCACAGGTCAGTGATGTAGACGTGGGCTGGACTCTGGGCTACGTGCTCAACCTCACCAACATGATTCCCTCAGAGATTCCCCAGAGAGTTGTAGGGCTCCAGAGAAGCAATTGGATAGCAGCCACTGTTCTACTGGCCACCATGCTCATCCTCACCTTCTGCCTGCTCACACTCATGTGCTGCCAGAAAAGCTCGTCTGGGTATGTGAGCCTCTAGCAGCACTGACTCCTGGGGCTACCCAAGCCTCTTGATCCTGCTGCTGCACTTGTGTGAGGAGCTGCAGACCAGGGAATCAGCCCCATGTCCGGGAGCTGTGAACATGTAATGTGGGTACCTCTGTCCTGGCCTGCTGAGCTGGGACTGGCACAGGCTTTAAAATCTCCTTGTAGCTGTGCTGTCTGGTTTTCCTTTCCCCTCGCTGCTGGCTGGAGATGCCCTAGGAGGGAGGGCATGGCCATGTGGGGTAGGGGCTCAGTGCTGGAGGTATGGGGACTGCAGTGATGTGGGGTGGCTGGAGGTGGTGGGTCAGGGAGAAGGGGTGACTGGCAGCAATGGGATCATCATGGGGCTGATTACAGCCTGCAGCAGATACCCCATGTGGGGCAGAAGTGACCTGCCCCATCCCAGGGCAAAGATCTGCATTGGCATGGCCAGCACCAGGCAGAGTGGCAGCAGCGCAGGGGAGGTGGGTCTCGGGCTCTGCCCATGGCTGGGAAGCCCTGTGAGGTGGGGGATGGCAGCAGCCCTCTGCTCTCCTGCACGAGGTTCCTCTCCAGTCCAGCTGCACTTCCAGTCTGTGCCTGGCAGACATCTCACCCTCCCTTTCATAGAGCCACAGAATGGTTTGGGTTGGAAAGGACCTTGAGATCATCAGTTCCAACTCCTGCCACAGGCAGGGACCAGCACACAGGTGATTTGGGAATGCAGCCAGGACATGTCAGGGCCCCCTTACATTTCTGGAGGGGTTCCACTGGCAGCCAGTGTCTGGGTAACGTGAGACATCCCAGCTCTAAGCAGGGAAAAGCCTGTCCTGGTCCCTGCTGGCTTCTTTTCAACATCTGACAGATAGCGTAGGGTCTCTGGGGGCATCTCCTGTAGCACTGAGTGATGTTGACTGGCCCCTGAGTCCCTGTTGTCATCACTAGCCCTTACCTGGGAGATGGAAATCATAAAATCACAACTGTTCAGGTCAAAGGAACAGCATTTCCCCATTTGCTGCCTATCACAGTATTTATTTGGATATCTCAGGGACACCAAATATCAGCTCCTTGATGCTGGGAGGCACAGAACCACTGAATCAGCTGGAGGCAGATAAAAACATGCAGAACCCACAGCAAAGGCAGGGGTGCAGGTGCGGGCAGGATCCAGCTCAGCCCCATGTGTAGGGTCAGGGCAGAACTAGCAGCCTGACTCCCACGGTGAGACAGAGTTTTCAGATGATGGGACATATGAATGTCCCACTACACAGATGGTGGGGCAGGGTTTACTCCAGGAAGACATTCAGGAACATTGATCCCTTTATTTCAGAGGAAAGGGAAGATGAGATAAGATGGACCCTCTGGGGAGGCATGGACCACGTTTCTGACTTTGAATGCTCAATTTTGCTTCTGTCTCCAAGACCATCAAGTAAGCCCACATGATACACCCTCAGGAGAGCCAGATGTGGTACTGCATAGCATTTCATACCCCTTACAGGGACCTGCCAGGCTGTTGGTGATCATAACCAGACCCAGCATTGCACCAAGCACCCAGTTGCAAGTGCTTGCAGTTGTACACTATTAGTCTGGCACTCGGGGAGCTCTTCCATGGCCAGGCTGGTTCTCCATGGCCCCATGTGCCAGCTGGTGGGATGGAGGCCACATCTGTAACAGGCATAGTGGGGTAAGGGGGCAGATGGGCATGGCTGAGTTTTCTGCAGTGCATAGGCAGAGCTTCCCTGGAAACCTCACATAGTGCTTATGTGCATGGTGGGGCCAGTCCCATGGGATACTATACCTCAGTTCTTGGGTGCTGTCGAGGTGCTCAGCATCACTGATCCAGCCCCAGGCTGCCAGCGCTGTAGGCAGGAGCAGGGGAGACCCTTCACTGACGGTTCTCCAGCCCTGATGCATGTCTACCAGGCTCTGAAATGTGTCTGGGCTCCTACACCCACAGGAGCAGGAGCAGGGCAGTGAGCCCCAAGGCAAGGGTGAGGATGATGAAGGTGATGGCCGCAGCCCACAGGGAAGGAACATGTCCCTTCACCTGCGCCGGAGTTTCCGCTGGAATCATGTTGGTGAGGTTGAGCAGGTACCCCAGTGTCCAGCCCACGTCGGCACTCCCCGCCTGCCCAGAGAGAGGGGACACGAGTTACCCTGCAGGAAAGCCACAGCAACGACACTGGCTGCAACCCAGAGAGTGGCTTTCTGGAGCATGGCTCTCACAGCACCCGACATGGGAAGCTGGCTCTTTTCCTTCTCTGCTCCTGCCCACAGGCTGGGTTTGCTGCCTACCTTCATCTGGAAGATGATGTTGTTCCAGCTGGTCTCATTGAACTTGTAGGCATCGAGGAGGAGGGTGAGGATGTAGTTGGCGTTGGCGCAGTATTTAGGCAGGCGCTGAGAGTTCTCTTCAGGGTAGCTAGCAGAGAGCTGGGGCGGGGACATGTTTGGAGGAGCAAAGTTATTTGCAGGCATTTTTCATGCAGCCCTCTCGAGTGCTGCATGAGGAGCAATGGCTCTGCAGTCACCAGCATCCAGAAAAATACTCTGGACCAAGCAGGTATTTGGGACCTGTCCACACAGGACAACTCTCTTGAAGAGTATTTACACTCTACATGGGAACAGAGAGACATACTGGAGCTCCTCCTGCCTCAGATTCTCCCATCTCAGCCTCTTTATGCAAGGGGCTCCTGCTCTCTGTCCCATGGTGGTCTTAGCACAACTCTTGGCCTTATCCATCCCCATTTGACTTGCCTGAAGAGTGACGCCAGCAGCTGGGTCTCCTCTCACCATCCTCCAGTGCTACAGACTCACCTCCATCCCCAGCTCCTGTGCTGGAGGGGAGCTTCTGCTGCCTTCACCTGCCCTGGCTGACTCTTTTCCTTTGTTAGATGAGCAAGGAAGATCCCCCCAGGGTGGGTGCAGGACAGTCCTGGCTCCCACACATTGCTCAGGGACAGCTCTGCTGTGTCAGGCACAGCTCAGCAACCAGGGAGCCTTGTTCTGCAGGGGTCCCCACTCCTCTTCCCCCACTCCAGGGCCCCTTTGCTTGTGAAGCTTCCACACTGCCTCCCACCGTGGGGAACATACATCTTCCCAGCTTCTCGTGCAGAAATGTTCAATGGTCTCCCTGACAGTGGCCAGCAGCTGCCCCTCGGTCAGGTTGAGGAACTTGAAGTTATAGTAGAAGGCAGAGAAGGCCTGAAAGGCAAGAGGCAGAAACACCATTGAGCTACAGTAGAGAACCCCACCAGGCAGCTGCAGTTTGTCCCACCCTTGTACAGTCCCAGGGCATCACTGTGTCCCCAGCATGGACGATGGGCTGGGGTGTAGGTGCCTGCTGGCTACAGCAGCACATCCAGCACCTTACCTGAAGGCTAAGATGGGCTTTATTACTGAAACCCTGGAATCTGGCTAATCAGCCGTTTCATTAACATGGTCCCATTTGGATACCTGTCTGGAAAACCAGGCAGCAGCAATCCCCGGTGTGCCTTGGGGCAGGGGTAACTTGGGAGCTTCTTGTCCCCATTTTGCTGCAGGGAGGTGACAATGCCATGAGTCACACAGGGACACCACAGCACATGCTCTGCCGTGCAGGTGGGAGGAAAGGAGCTGAGAGGACAGGATTTGCCTTACAATGAACTGCCCTCTGACCGGCGGCTGGTAGATGCCATCGAAGGTGCAGTCCTGGCTCTGGCCACACGCGGAGAAATTGAAAAGCTTCTTGATGGCAGCCAGGCACCTGCTGGCATTGCCCCTACCCTCCAGGGTGACGGTCCTGTCGCTGAAGCCCAGGCGCGGGTCGCTCTGGTTCGTGCAGGGGCTGGTGCGGAAGGAAGATAGCGACACGGTTTCATTGTAGTCTTTTGGATAGCAGGGGTGATGGACACGCGTGCTGGGGGCCGACTCCTGGGAACAGCAAAACCGCAGGCTGCAGCCTCCTCTGGCGGGCAGCTCGGGCACGAGTCACCCAGTGCTCCTACCAAGTATTGTTCTCATTGGGAAAAACATTTCCCCTGCTTTTGAATCAGACTCATAGAATCCCAGCCTAGTTTGTGTTGGAAGGGACCTTAAAGCTCATCTGGTTCCACCCGCTGCCACGGGCAGGGACACCTTCCACCAGAGCAGGTTGCTCCAAGCCCCTGTGTCCAACCTGGCCTTGAACACTGCCAGGGATGGGGCAGCCACAGCTTCTCTGGGCACCCTGGGCCAGTGCCTCAGCACCCTCCCAGGGAAGAGCTTCTGCCTAAGAGCTCATCTCAATCTCCCCTCTGGAAGGTTACAGCCATTCCCCTTGTCCTGTCCCTACAGGCCCTTGTCCAAAGCTCCTCTCCAGGTTTCCTGGAGCCCCTTTAGGCACTGGAGCTGCTCTAAGGTCTCCCCTTCAGGAGCCTTCTTTTCTCCAAGATGACCCAGCCCAGCTCTCTCAGCCTGTCTTCATAGAACATAGATTGGAAACTCATATGTTCCACCTTGTGCCCATTGCCTCTTGCCCTTTCAGTTTTCCCCTCTGAGAAGAGCCTGGTCCTGCCTTTTCTACACCCTATATGAGGCAGCTGTGTACAGCCAGAAGTTCTCTCCTGAGCTGCCCCTTCTGATGCTTCCCATGCTCCCCTCCACATCTGCTTACCTGTGCTCTCAGAAGGCTGTACCTGTTCTCAGTCCCTGCTCATGCCTCTCTGGAAGAGCTTTGACTGTTCTTATTTTATGCATTAACAAGCCTGTTGCTGGTATCATGAGACTGGAGTCCAATTCCCCCCCAGTCCCCCTCTCACCGCAATCAATTCCTTTGCCAGTCGCTTCAGCATCTCATTCTGGCCATAGCAGAGGTAGCTGTGTGTGTAGATGTTGTAGTCATACCCATACAGTGTGAACTTGGAGCCTTCCTTCCAGTTCACCACTGAACCTTCGGGCACAAAGCTGATTTGGGTGGATGCTCCTCCAAGATCCAGTGCTCCAAAAATGCTGGCTGCCTCTGGACGAATCCATGTGTGTGCTTTGGGCGAATACTGCCAAGTAAGACCAGGAGAGGAAGAGGAGTAGTACACAGCTGGTCCTACTTGCCCAGAGCAAAATTCTCATCCCACTGAAGTCAATAGGGTTTTGTGACTGAATTCAATGGTTATTCAACTCAATTCTTTCCATATGCGAGGCCTCCTCTGCCCAACCTGCCCGGCCATTTATCAGAGCCAAGAAAAGCAGAGGTTGAACTGTCTGATGGTCAAGATGTGCCACCAAGCTATGGGCTCATGTGGCGCTGAGGCACTGTCCCCAGATCAAAGTGCTGGTGGGGACCTGGCATGGAGGAGCTGCCCCTCCTGAAAGGGCAAGGACAGAAGTCCTCCAGCAGTGCCGGCGCCACCCCCAGTTGCAGCAGTGCTGCGACAGAGCGTGGGGCAACAGAGGTTTGGTTCAAGTCTCCCAGTGCCGCAGGGAGAGGGTCCTTCCCAGGGCAGTGAGACAGAGCCCAGCAGGAGCCAACAGTCTCAACCAGGCTGCACGGCTGACCTTGCTGTCCCAGGAGACCCTGTGTCCACATGGTGTGGAGATGTGTCCTTAGCTTTTAGCAGAGACACCCGCATTCCCAGTTTCTCCCTCCGCAGGATAACTGGCTGCTTCCCCATGATCATTCCCAGCAGCCACTGACCTTTCCCTGTATGCTAAGCAAGCTTAAGACAAATCAGAAAAAACAAAAATCAGCAAAGATGTTTGACCCTTCTCCCACCTTAGTGAAGGAACCCAGCAGGTAGTTGATGGTGATCCAGCCATAAGCCCCCTCCTCCTCTCCTGTAAGGATTTGAGCCCCTTTGAAAGCCACTGGGTACTCTTGCATAGTTTTAGCAACTTCAGCCAGGACTTGCTCTGCTGCTGCACTGTTCTGTTCCCTAGGAAGGACCCAAAGGTCAGGACACACACCCAGCTGCACCCTGCTACATTAACTTGTCAAAGCTGCTTCTATGTCCCAGCTGTCTACACGTGGCATCACTAACCCAGGAGCAACACCAATCTCTTCCCTCCAGTGCAGCTTGATCTGGTTTGTGAGGCCACCTTTC